GAAAGCTCCACGGAAACAATCACACTCACATACATGACTTGTAATATATGTAAGTACGCTACTCAACTTAAAGCGGGCCATGGCATTAGGGGAAACACTGGCCGGGGTAGCGCACAGCAGCTAAATGATGCACAATGAATAATGTGTTTGCAATTTTATCTACGCACGCAGACCTCTACTGGCGGCTTTATGCGACGCAATACGCTTAGGCGGAATACCCTGCAGGAAATGTATCTAACTATAAGCTAACTTTAAGTTGATTAAGAAGGAGCCATAAGTCACTTATTATCTGTATTTTTTCTTCCACGAAGGCTAACTATATTTCTATGGCGATGGCCGCGAAATAGTCAAGGGTGGTTACCTCTGAATTTCATGTAACTAACGTGTAACTAACTACTTTTGGGCATAAAATATCAATAGGAAAAACAAAATATAAATTTTTTTTGTTATTTTTAATTTATTTACTTTATTTCATCACATTTCATATTTGTTTATATCTTCTGCTGTAGGTGGTCCCAATTTCGAACTCCGTCAGACATAACTTCAAAATGATAATATGAAATTTCGATCTTCCTTTTATTTGTCCTCAATTCGAAAAATTATTTGCGAAGTGCAGGATATTTAAATAGAAACGCGTTCAAAGAAAACAATCTCGAGCTTTACTCCTGCATTACTTGTCCACTTGTTTCATGTTAGCTTTTTGTAGCTAACTGCAAGTTATATATTTTATATATTATTTTTTATCAATTGATAATTTTTTTCTGCAGGGTATCTACGCTAGCCCTGTGGGAAAAATTGGAATGGCTATAGCTAATTTTGATCGTCCAAAATCTCCAAAAGAATGCCAGGCAAGCCTAACAACAGCTTTGGGTGATTACACCTTGCATCTGTTGCTTTTCCATGTTGTATACTTTAAGGCACCACTGCTTTCCGTTTAGAGAATTTTGGCGACGAAAATTTAGGGCAGTGATTGTCAGAATTTCACTGCAGGTGAACAGTTTTTGATAGTTTTATGATGTGTTGTGGCAGTAAAAAGGTACCCATTGTTTTTAACCCGGGAATTAAAAAAAGGTTTTCCTCGTTGTTGGGCTTCTTATTTCTTTAACAATGTTACTTATTCACTTTTAAACATTTATCAACTAGTTTCCGATTTCCTCTTGGGTACTTCGATGTCTGTGGCGTCATACTATCTATATGATTGCAGGTCACCACCACGAATGCTTATTACATAAATACACCAGGGAACGTTGAGACTGGCGTAAATATTGAAAATGAAATTTACTTGCCATATACGAGTAAATGCTACTCAGGCAGCTGATATGTACATACATAAACGCATACATACATAAAAATGATATCTGCAAACAAGCTGCGCATCAACCGCCTACATACTTATTTAACAATAGCATAAAGAAAAAGAAAATTTAGTCTGTGGACGCAAAGTTAATCGATGTACATAAAAGGCAATAAAGATAATTTTTCAGAACTCAGCTGTATTGCCGGCATAACTAAGGCAAAAACTGGATTGAATAAAAAGAATGCAATCCAGGCAAACTTCATACGCCGCTGCCGAATATGAAAGGTGGATTGCGAGAAAAAAGAGGTCGAGTTGAGTGAATGAGTCGCCTTGTCATCACCCATTAGTTAGACCAATAATCAAATAAGCTAAATCACAGTGATATGCCAATGCGTGTTTGTGTTTGCATACAAAATTCCGTTGTTTATATGCACGAATACACAATTGTGTGTGGTGTGCAGAAGCGAATTTATTTGCTTATTATCAGTTATTTGACATGTAAATATACTATCTGCCAGCTATCACACGTAGCCAAATGTAAACCACCTTCAATATGGCGATGCTGTGATATTCAAAGAAATATTTGAAATGCCATTGTGTGGCACTTAAGTGCACATACATACATACATATGTATGCGCATACAAGTGGAAACACAAGAAAGTAGAAATCAAATATGCAGGCACTCAAGTCATCGAATATTGTGCTTGCGTGTGTGTTGCCGCAGCGGCATGCCTTTGTGGGTGGGTTATAATATATGTTGTTGTAATTGCTCTCTAGAGTATACAATGCTCTAGAATGCGGTACTCATTTTCTAAATCCTAATTAATAATAATAATATTTTGGCGCTTAAACTTTTGTTGCCGAGGGGGGACCGCTGTTAGGAAAAAAATTATTTTTTTTAATCTAGATGTTGCTCGTACCAGAGATGTAACGCAGGTCCTATGGAAAGATAGTATGCACGTCGATATCTTTAGTAAAAACATATATCTGAATCTCCTAATTACCAAAGGGAATAAGTAAGAAATTATCCGATATGGCAAATTTGATGCAGTTCAACAGAGCTGCCTTAAAGGATCTGAACTGTACCAAAATTTTCACATCTTAAAAATATTTACTTATTCCCTTTGATAATTAACCGATTTGTCTATAACATATATGTGTTTATAAATATATTAGAGAGGACTGGGAGGCGTGCAGCATCTGGAATGGGAGTCCTGCAAACATGTTTACAGACGGATCGAAGCCGAATGGTATGGTAGGTGGAGAGGTATTCTGCATAGAAAATCTATTCTGACAGCCAAACAGCTAACCAGGCTCTTGGCTCCTTGTTGCTTTGTTCGAAAACTTCCTTATCGACGGCATCGGATAACTGCGCTATTAAGCTCACTTAGGTTCGCAGGAAACTACATGGGAACCCTTGAGGAATTTCTGCCGGTTAGAAAAAGCCTGGGTGCTCCCCTGACCTCATGTGCTCGACTTATTTATAAATGGTCGTTTAGTCAGCTCAGTGTGCGCTAGGCGAAGACCTTGGAATGCAAGGTGGCTAAGTACTGCTGGCTACGTGTAGGCCGGAGGTGATCCAGGGAGCTCATGAGACTGAGCACGCTCGCTATTGGTGGGAGTTCTAACTGGTCAATGCGTGATAAGTAAGCATGCAGTAAGGCGGAATATCATCGCTTACCCTTACTACACCAGCCGCAACGATGAGGTGGAATCATCTAAAAACCTGCTGCTCTAGTGACCTGCCTTTGGGAACTTAAAGTTCACGCACCTTAGTCGAATTTCTTCCACACTGCCGATGTGCTTTCTGGAATGTGAATATCAGTTGCTTGAGGAGCTTCGTGGTGAGCACGGAGTATTTTTCATACAAGAAGCCTTAACTGTCATCGTCTTGTTCCTTCCACCTCTATTTCTATCCTCCTACTCACCCTTTTAGCTCTTCCCCTCTTAACGGAACCAAAATGGCTAGCGCTTAAGTCTGCCTCCACCCACGGAGGCGGCCCCTAACATAACCTAGCTTAAAAATATGTTTATAGATATAACTGTTCAAATTAATAATATCCTTAATCGATGCATTTAAAAAAACTTACACCTAATTTTTGTCGTAAGTTATTTTCGAGAATGTGGCTGCTCGGAGTCTATCTATTGACTTTATAGATGCTACTTAGGCCCCGCTTGACATGTGTTCGCGACATGCTCCCATAACAACCGGCTGCTTTGCAACTTGGATTTTCTCATAATTCCTTGGTAAAATTATTCTCCTACTCGCATCAAATTTCCACTGCTGATGGTAGTCGATAAACATACGTTGTGTGTGTTCTTATAAGTACTTTCACTTCATATAAATATAAAATTTTCCAACTCGTTGAATTTCATTGACATGGTCATAAGAGCAGTAATGAAGGCGGCAATTCGATAAACCATTATTGACATTGAAGTGAAGAAAAACAAAAACCATTTAAGTATGGCCACGATAAGTGCACCACGAAAGCTTCGCTAAGTCACGGAGTTTTGAAACTTGCGATGATGATGAATGATGAATTGTTTTTTGCGTTGAGTTTACTGAACACTTCCACAGCTTTAGGACACTTACATATTGACAAGTTTTGACTATTTATTTCATTCGTTTTTAAACTTAAGTATTTTTTTATAAAAATATTGCATATGCTTTAACAAAAACCGTTTATGTAAATCGAAGTTCCAGTATTTGTGCAATATAAAAAAAAGAAATCAAAAAGCTTTCTCGCTCGTTGCTCGTTTTCTCCATAAAAAAAGCGTCAAACATATGTAAGTACTTTAAATGGAAGAAAATTCATACTACTAATTTATTGTACTAAAAAAAATTTGCTATAAAACTGCATATGTTTTTAAGAAATCTATTTAAGAAGCTCGAAATTTCTGCAACATTTTCCTGATTTTTTTTTGTTAATATTTCACAAATATTTTAACGGTTTTTGTTAAAGAATTAACTAGTTAAGAAAAAAATATATATATATATATAATCAAAAAAAAAAAATTATAATAAATAGTCAATATTTGTGAATATGTGAGTGTCGTATGGTTATGAAAAGCACTATAAGTTAATTTCTGGTTCATGTTGTTTCCGATGATGCATTTCGGAACAAATTTGGAACAAAAAATTATATTGAAAATGGCACAACGCTGAAACCGTTGTCTCGAAATAAAATTCGACAAGCAGCGGCAGAGATTCTTTCCAAAATAGAACAAAAGTTAATGTTTAATTTTAAAATATTTAAGCTTTTATAAATATTTTTTTTTTTAGAATTCGCTTTCGAAATCGCTGGAAACTCCATTTAAACATACATGTATATATATATATACATATTTTACCTATTAAAAATAATAATTGTGATCTCGATAATATAGATAGGTGGCAAATATTTTGGAAATTATGCTTGCATTTAAATTCTCTTCTACCCCACTCAATAGCCACTTACCAGTTCAAACCAGTTTAAGATTGTTTTCAGAAAGATAGCAACCTCTGTTTTAAGAGATTACCAAAAGAAAAAAGCTCCAAATAGGTAATCTTTTTTTCATGTTTCGGCGGACTTATAAAATTTTTCTATCCTAAAGGGTATACTTACTTATACCTCCCACGAAAAAATAAAATTTTGCAATCCATTTAAAATATGAATACACACATCCCTATGGAATTTCTTTACATGTCCCCACACAACTTACCTTTTATGAAATCCACCGCCATCTCCAGCCCATACGAATCCTTGTCACAGTCGTCTAAAATGTGCGCACCCAAAGTGATGTTTGGCAGCAAACTCGCCTCGTTGATGCGATCAATGGTGTAGAGCATCGCCTCCAGTGCCTGTATGCCACCCTGTGGCATTATTGGCCCGCACATAATGGTGTCCTCGCGTGAGTGCACCATCATTAGACCGCCGAGTATGACATCGCCTTCGACAATGGCTTCGCGTTTGACCGGCCAATGCCTTTGAGGCGCTGCGGCCAACATGCGATGAACATGCTGTTCGTAATTAAAATCTTCCGTGTCGGGCAGTGAACGAAATACTTTGCCACCACCACCAATGTTGTAGCTGTTGCGGCTAGCGTGCGGCTGCATGAGGGTGGGTAAGGTTACATGACGGCCGCGATGACGTCCGGAACGTGCAGCCGCTTGCAAATCAATGTCCGCTGCGATGCTCTGCCACCTATTCGACCCGATGTGAAGTGGGGCGTAGTTGTCTGTGGCGTGTGTGGGTGTTAAAGGCAGGCCATCGAACGACGTAAGCGGCAACGCGTATGTTGCTTGTGTTGATGCCACCTTGAGCCGCTTACTTTGTCTTTCAGCATGCATTTGGTGTTTTGGATTCTGTTGTTGGTTTAGTTTGTGTGCAGTAGAAACCATATGCTGCTCTTTCGGTCGTAATTTTTCAAGTTCCTGCGGTAGTTTGGTGAAACTGAAATTTTTGAGGAGCATACTTTGAGGTGCATCTTCTGGCCTTCCCTCTGTCCTATTCGTTTGAGATGCATCAGCATGCCACCGAGACTCTTCGCCAATATTGGTTTCATCCTGTTGGTATTGCCAGTCGGACGCATCTGCATCTTCAAAGTGCATAGAAGGAAACTCATCATCATCGCTAGTAGCGCTCTTCACTTCCATGCCAAGCAATTGTTGTTGATTTTGCTCCCCAAATTGCAGAATTTGAGGCTCAACTGAAACTCTGCTATGGAATTTGTGTTCATGTCGCCGGTGTTTGTGTTGCAAGTGGCCTGAATGTATGCTGTTGTGACTATTTCGCAAAAATTTCGCTCGTTTGCGGTGCTGCTTATGGTGGTGTTGTTGCTCTTCCATCTGCTGTCCTCCTACATGCTTCACATGGCTGCATAGCCTCGAATGCACGCGATGATGTCGTTTGGGCTGTGTGCCTTCCGCTTGTAGTACATGCTCACGTGAGTTATGCAGCGTGCGTCGTTGTTCCTGCCGCCGAAAGTGACGCTCAATTTTGTGTTGCTTGTAGCGGCGATGTGCCTGCTGCTGCTGATGCTCTATTGGATATTGCGTGTTTTTAGCCATTTTTGTTCGAACTCCCTTCACCCATCTTACATCTGTGCTGTGTAAATCTTCTTCAGCACTTTGTTCACTCATATTCGGGTGGTTTATTTCCTCCACCTCCACCTCCGCTTCCTCCTCTTCGGCAGTGTTGTTCATTACTGCCATGGGCGCACCTTCAGCTTTCGCATTTCTAACCTTGGCATCAGCATCATTTTCGCTCTTCGCACTGCTCGCTTGCCACCAACGCATTTCCGACTCTGCCTCTGTGGCCGGCCCCACCGCCCATTGTTCGCTGATATCGCCCACGACCTGCTCATTAGTCCCATTTCCATCATTTCCTCTCGCATGCCTCATTAACTCGGCAACATATTCTGTAGCTGCAG